TACTACTACTACTACTACTACTACTACTACTACTACTACTACTACTATACTACTACACTACTACTACTACTACTACTTCTTCTTCTTTTCTTCTTACTTACTACTTACTGCTTACTACTTACTACTCACTACTAAACTACTATTTACTGATACTTACTACTACGTAATACTTACTACTACTTACCACTACTTACTACTGCTTGCTACCACTTACTTACCACTATTTTCTACTACATACTACTACCACTAACAACCACTAACTACTACTTACTACTACTTACTACCACTTACTACTACTAACCACTAACTGTTGCTAGTTACTTACTACTAGCTACTACCTACCAACTACCAGCAACTAACTACTAACTGCTAACAACAACAACTACTACTACTACTACTACTGCTACTACTACTACTAGTACTACTACTAACTACCACCAACAACTACAACAACAACAACAACCACAGCAGCAACAACAACTACTACTACTACTAACCACTAACGACTACGGCTACTACTGCTACTAAGACCTAACTGTTACTAGCTACTAACTACAGACTACTAACTACTAACTACTGCTACCAGTACTACGACGACAACAACACCTACTACTAGCACTGCTAGAACTACTGCTAGTACTACTACTAGTACAACTAGAAATACTACTACTACTACTACTACTACTACTACTGTTACTGCTACTGCTACTGCTGCTACTATACTACTGCTGCTACTATACTACCGCTACTAGTATTCTACTACTACTACTACTACTACTACTACTACTATGCTACTACTTCTACTACTACTACTACTGCCACTACAACCACCACCACCACTACCACCACTACTACTACCACTATCACTACCACTACCACTACCACTACTACTACTACTACTACGACGACGACGACGACTACTACTACTACTACTTTTTCTACTACTAGCAAGAGCAACAACAACTACTACTACGACGACTATTACTACTAAATACTAAATACTAACTACTAACTACTAGCTATTACCGACAACTGTGACTCTTTGACAAATGTTGCGTTCCCTTTCTTCCTCTGGAAGTGCTGGTTCCTATCACAGGCTGTCCAGTCCGCTTGTGTTTTGTTTGACTGTCCTATTTTCATTTCTTTTTCTCCGATTTGTTGCATTGTATGTCCTCAACATGTATGTATATACCTTCAATTCTTAGATTTTGCTTCTTAGGCAGCTCACCAGTGTAGACGGTGGTTTGATGTAACCGGTGGTTGGCGCAAACCGTGGTTTTGTGTAAATGGTGTTTGGTGTGCCCCGTGCTTTGGTGAAAACCGTGGCTTGGTGTAAAGCGTGGTTTGTGTAAACGGTGGCTGGTGTAAAACGTGGCCCGGTGTAAGCGATGGTTGGTGTAAACTGTGGTGTAAACCGCGATTTGGTGTAAACCGTGGTTGGCGTACACGGTGGTTGGTGTAAAACGTGGTGCGACATAAACTACGGTTGGTGTAAACCGTGGTTTGGCGTAAACGGTGGTTGGCGCAAACCGTGGCTTGGCGCAAGCGTATTTTGGTGTAAGCCGTGGTCGGTGTAAACGGTGGTTCGTGTACAACGCGGCGCGGTGTAAACGATGGTTGGTGTAAACCGTGGCTTGGTGTAAGCCGTGGTTAGCTGTAAAACATGGTTTGGCGTAAACGGTGGTGGGCGCAAACCGCGGTTTGGCGTAAACGATGGTTGGTGTAAACCGTGGTTTGGTGTAAGCCGTGATATGGCGTAAACGGTGGTTGACGCAAACCGTGGTTTGGTGTAAACGGTGTTTGGTGTAAACCGTGGCTTGGCGTAAACCGTGCAAACCGAGCAGCAGCAGCAGCAGCAATTCAGTAGCAACAAAGAAACATAGAAACAGCAGCAGCAGCGGCAAAGCAGCAACAGCAACAGCGGCCACGTTGGGAACTGAGAAACGGCCAGGGGGAAGGGGGAGTTGAGCCCGCGGGCAGGAGAGGGGGTGTATATCACTGACATATCAGTCCTGGGTTCCCACCTCCGTGCTAACGCAAAACAGACTCCAACTAGCTATAGCTAGCCTTCGCGATTTGTTCGATGAATGTCGGTACAGTCAGTCAGTTGATCGTTCAGCCTGGACTTGCTCGGCCCCAGAGCCTTTGGCACCACACCTTGGCCACTGGTCTCTTGCGCCGTTTGTCATTCCGACTGCTCTCGTGCTTGCACTTCAAGAAACGCTCAAAATCTGCCGGATGCCACAGCAGTTCCAGCGCAGCTCACGAGTGACTCTTTGGCATCGGACTTGGGACCTCGTCTAGAGTCTAGAGGCAGGACAAGCACAATGGACTGCAAGCATGGACTGTAAGCGCCTTTCTTCATCATGCACCACGATGACCTCACAGATTCTGAGGCAGGGCATCCAAAAACATCTTCACACAAGCTGCCATCTGAGCCTCCATCAAAGTGGAGGGACAAAGCACC